TACTCCCTCCGTCCCAATTATATAGGCTGGGTTTCCTTTTTCTCTTGTCCCAAATATATAGGCTTGTTTCCTAATGTAGAATATTTTATTGTGTTCTTTTACTAATATACCCTTATTAAATTTTCCCCACTTAATATGCAAACTTCTTGAAAATTCAAATTCTTTATGAATTCCAACAATAATTTAGTTTTACCCACTGAAAATTAAATAGGGGTAAATTAGGAAAGATCTTGACAAAAATTAATTTTCCAATGACATTAAATAAGTTTTCTTAATCCGTGTGAAAAACCAAACAAGCCTATATAATTGGAACGGAGGGAGTATCTATGAAAGATGTGAACATGAAAATATGCATTAAAAGCGTTAGAACATCTATAGAAATCATGTAAAGTATATCGGTATATCTCTACCCCATATCGAACTTTACAATATTTGTTATAAGTGCTATCTATTTTATCATTTCTCTCAGAATCAATATAATTGGAGATCAAACAATTGAAAGTATTAAACACAATAACAACCATCCAAGAACTCATGCATATTGAACGTCAAAATATTTAATTTATATTAAAAATTTCATAATAAGGGTTCGTCTACATCTTAGTCATTGAAAATTTAGCCTAGCATTGCAAAATTACAAAGATACATGTTTAATTGGAAAAATATTACTTGAATTTTTTATAAATTGAGAAGATGAACAAGAATTTTAAAATCTTGAATTTCTTCAACGGCTTCTTGATATATCTCTACTTGTGTCTTCTCTTCTTTGCTAAAAAATCAAAATTTAATTTTCAATTGTATGAATTCTTGTAATTGCTCAATTCTATCACAAAAACAATGGGTTGACATCTCTTCAATGATGTTAATTGATGAATTTAGGTGTATAAGATGTATATTAGAGGCGTCTCTAATGTGTTATGCTGCTAGATATCTATAGGAGTCGAAAATTGATTGAAATCACTTTCAAATTGATTTTCAAAAGAGTTCTAATCGCGCATGTTTGTCTCTACACAGTCGTCTGTTTTTTTATCGTAACTTTCTCTTTTGATATCCAACTGAAGCGATTCAAACTAACTCAAATTGATACAACTTTGCTAGAAGTATAATTTTTTCAATTCAAACATTTACTACGTCAAAAGTAGATCTCAATTTTCAGCTAAAAATCTAAAAATATAACTTGTGCGATTGTAAATTGATTTGTGATAATATTTTTTTTTATTATATTCCATTCCTTTTTTTCACTTTGCATCCAATTATCTCCTAACAATCTTCAAAAACTGTCTTGTGGTCCGAACCAACTATTAAATATTTACAATTCGGTACTCAAACTTTGAATTTAGTCAATTTTCACCAGTTTCGCTCATTTCTTCTAATTTCAAGTTCAATCATTGATTTTCTCCTAATAAACAAAATAGACAAAAAATTGGACTGTAATTTATCAAAAGAACAACGAAATATCAATATTTTATGACCCGAATGCATGTATAGAAATTGGTTGGCAATGAAGACATTATAGAAATTAGAAGTTTCAAAGCTTGAAAAATGAGGATAGAATGAAAAAATAATGGACAGGAGAAAATGATGATTGAGCTCAATAATGGGTCGATTGGACAGATTTTTGGATGGAAAGTTGAGCAGAATTAATTTATTACGATCGACTCACTTTTACGATATATTAATCAATTCTAATAACAAATCACACCATATATATTAGAATAATTAACCCCTTTACACCTTTTTGAAATTTTTAATTACTATTTCTTCGCATTAAAAAAAAAAAAAACCAGATTTCTATCTTTATTTCATCCATCTTCTCCATAAATTATCTCACTTCTCCAAAAATGAAATTATGGTCGAGTCTTTTAACTACATTAATAAAATTATTTTTTTACATAAAATAAAATATTTTTATTAAAAAAAATTATATTTGCATTCTCTTCTGTCAAGCTTCATTTGGGGGGGGGGGGGGGGAAAAAAAAAAAAACTTCAAAATAATAACTAATATAAATATTATCTTACTTTATTTTTAAAATCTTTACTCATTAAACAAGAATTGTTAATTTAAAGATCACAACAACGAATTTCCATTTGTCCATTTTATAACGTTGGAACTATAAAATGAATGAAGTCATTTCTATAAATTTCTAAATAATATAGGTTTATTATAATTAATTTCTTATTTATTCCAATTTAAAGTTCGAGGAAAATGAAGATAACAAAAAATAAAGAAAACCGTATTTTAAAGAAAAAATTAAATAAAAATCATGGCTTCTAATAATTATAATTTTGAAAAATGATAGAGTAGGTAAAATAATGTTACAGTAATGTAAAATACATTGTTTTTTATTATTATTTGATGAAATATAGTCCCTGTTTGGTCGGGATTAAAATCAGTATTTTAGTAAATTTTGATAAAATTGATAAAATATATGGTTAAAAAATTGTGAATCCTATTAAATATGTTGTTAAAATTAATTGTTGACTTAAATTACAGTTAAAATTTGAATTTTAATTCATACCAAACAAGGGCATAGTGTGTAAATTTTAGAAACATGTTAGGTTAAGATTGTTGGGCATTGAATGTTAGTTCTAAGCATAAGTTTGTCCTTTAAAAAAGGAGAGGCAGAAATAGCACTAACTTCGAGAAGAAACAGAGGTTCGTAGCAATTTTTAAAACAATCGTGTTACATGTACATCATTTTATACACTGTGGCACGTGGCAACACACGATTAAACAATCTTAAACTTTTGACAATTTTTTCACATAATCAACACTTGCCAACACACACAATATCATCAATCATGTCAAGGAAGAGCGTACAAGTGACATTTTCCGTTTTCAATTGTTCCCATGTATCACTATTTACTAGGTTTCATTAGAATGAAGATGAGCAAATGAAAATGTAGAAACCTTGGAAAGAGTTCGACGACTTTATTTTGACAATCACTTTTTCGGATGTCATGTATTGAATTAGGATTAATCTAGTTGTACATAACCCTCTACATAATGGTTCACATAATGGTGACATGGCAATCATCAATTTATTGATGTGTAAGTGTGAAAGTTGAATTAAAGGCAGGATCACATGCCACGTGTAATTATGTGAACCATTATGTGAATTGTTATGTACCTGTAGCATTACCTATTAGGTATTTTTTGGGTATACGACTCGACCATAAATTTTTTTTGATACTTGTGATTCCTTCGAACTAACTCAAACACAAGGAATTATGTGGAGGACCCTCCCTCAAAGGCCCCCCTTTCTCCACTGAGACAACTAGCCTTTTGTTGCTATGGACCATGATCGAGATCTCCCTACGGACAAATTTTACTTTTATTCCCTCTTGAGGTTCCCCTGCTCCACAGGCAAGAAAAGCAAATCGATATGGACTATGATTGAGATCTCCATTAGAATTAATTTTACTTTTCTATCTATTTTTCTTGACTTGAGTCAAGAAAATCAAAAATAAATATTGTAAAATTATAAAATATTTTTTCTCAATTAAGGGTAAAAATGGGAACTCGTGTCACTTTCACTTGAGAACCACTCCATCCCTCCAAACATGCTGGTACAAAATTGGGAATTCAGATTCAACTTTTAAGCAGCAGGGCAATTATTATAAAGAAATATAAACCCTAATTCAGTTGAATTTGTACTCAAGCATGAGAAGAGCTAACATTTTTGTTTCATTTTCTTTAATATTTCAGTCAAACCCATATGCTTCAACTGTCACAAAATTTAATTGCTTCATTTAATGAGATTTTTAACTACAGCCATAACCCTACCAAACCCCTAGCCAATCTCAACCACACCCCTTCGAAAATTAGTAGAGGTCGACGAAATTATAGGTACTACCCTACATTTTAAAGAGTTTACGATCGATATTATCAAAAATTGATCGATTCAATTCCTGGTTCTATGCCCGGAATGAAAACTCGATTTTTTATTTTTTCAATTCTTTTTGAAAATATACTATATTAAACCACGTCCACCTTTACAAACTAGTTTCTTGTGTTTATTAGAATGATTAAATTACTTGTACAAAGTGTACATCTTGATTGACACCCCCGATCATGTGTTAAAAATCTGACAATTAATTGAAAAATGTGTATTAAGATCAATGTACCAAAATCTGCCAACTCACATGAGTGTAAATTAATGTGTCAACTTTATAGCATAGTCCTTGTTAGAAATATAACTTCTAGACTAGTAGATTCAAAATATTATTAGTACAACATCACGTGTGAATCTAAGATAATTCCACTAAGGGTAGTTCGTAACCCTGCCCTAGTGCCAAACTTAGCAACATAATATTCGTCCACTCCTTTAAAGTTAAATAATATTCATGTCATTGTTACTATAGTATTTCTTATAGTTCACTTGGGAGAGACATCAAGCTTCAAAAATGCACTCTCGAATTATTCATATATGTTGCACGATAAACCACCGCCTCCCCTTGACTGATTCTACCATAAAGGTCAGTGATAGACAATATCTATGTACCCCACTGTTGAAGGACACATAGACCTTTCGCTTTCTACACAGCTATTAGCAGACCATATTTCAATACCTTAGAAGAAAGAAATTTGTCCCTTACATTCTGATCAATGCCATTTCCTACTTTTTCTTAATGACTTGTTATTTTCACTTCAACGCTACTCTCAGAATATGGTCTGTTATATCTTCTGCTACTCTTTCAGTTTCTTTACAACCCTTAAAACCTTTATCTTATGAAAAAAACCCTATTTCTCTGTCTCTCTCTCTCTTAAAATGCAGCCATGGCTATGACTTGTATCATAATTGTTGCCCTTCTCAATTTTCTCCCTCTTTCTCATTGTTTATACCATAAGCAGCCTCCATACACTCTAGGGGTGAATCCCTTTTCTCTTCTTCTTCTTCTTTTTCTTCTTCGTCCGCGATGTGGAGTGTGTATGTTTGATTCCCACTTTACAGACGATATTTTTCCGATTGTGTGTGATTATTTTTGTATAGCTATTGTGATTGTATAGTTATTACCCAATCTATTCTTTTGAATTATTTAAATCTTGTTTTCAGTATGCCTCTAACGTGTTTTTTTTTTTTTTCCCCTTCTCGTCGCCTATGTGTGTGTCTATTGTGCATACACTTGTTGCACTTTGCAAATGATATTTTTTCAATTATGTGAGATTATTTTTTAATCAATTATATATTATTGCTTAGCCGAATAGGGACGTATTCTTTGCATCATTTAAAATCTCATTTTTAGTACACACTTCGTGTACGAAGCAAATTAAGTTTACTCAAGTATATGATGTGTGCAATTTTCGTAAACAGGGCAACGAAGATACATCAACTTGGAGTTTTTATGCAATTTTTATATCATGTTGAACAACTTATTTAAAGATTTAATTATTAGAGATCATCGCATGTATTTATCTAAATCTTGTCCGGAGCATCATGTTAAAAGGGTTGTCGATTGTAGGGTTTGTTGGCAGAAGAACAGGCAAGATTGGGTTCAATGCCACCGAGTTGTCACAACAAATGCAACCGATGCCACCCGTGCATGGCGGTGCAAGTGCCACCACTGCCGAGTGGCAACCGAGTGCTGCCAAGTCAAACTGAAGCAACTCCATCATCAGATGGGAACAATAGGTACTCAAATTACAAGCCACTTGGATGGAAGTGCAGGTGTCATGGACACTTTTACAACCCTTAATTAGCATTTGAATTTCAATTTTCAAATTAATTTTTATGGAAATTAATAAATTAAATTTTTTTTTAAAAATTTTACTTATTTTCTAGAGTAGCATATTGTTGTAGGGTTTTGGAATTTTCTTAGGGGACAAGACATTAAATGGGGTGTTAACATTAATTGAACTTGCGTAGATTGTACAGCAGTTATTACACTTTTCTTTGGCTGAAATTTTAACGTTGGTTTCAATAAAAATCTGTTAGTATAGCTGCCCCACACGAGCTTTTCATAAGTAACTTACTATTAAAATAAGTAACTTATCAATTTTTAAAGGTAAAATTGGAGCTCGACTCCAACATTTTTTGGTCCCCAAATTTCAAAAGTGAGATTGTGGGTCCTCAATCTATTTTAATCAATAAATACGGTCACTAATAGGAATGACAATTTGGCCCATCAAACCCAAGTCTGCGGACATCTACCCTGTTTTGGAGAGAGATGCCTCCTTAATTGGGTTATCGGGGCCAGACGGGAACCGGGAATCCTCGCCCCACTCAATTTAATTTTTTTAAAATTTTAATTACTATATTTTAAATATTAAATTAAACATTTATTATAAAAAAAATTAAAACATAATTATATTTATTCATAAATCTTTCCTCTAACGTGATTGATAGTTTTGTGAAGTGGGACAAAATAATTAATCCTTTTTTAGATTCCGATACTTAAGTGTAACGAAATTGATGTCCTGTCCAATGAAACTCTGCTGCTAATGTGACAAGTGAACTTTATTGTCACATTAACAACGAAAAGTTTTTATCTTATTCACCGGGAATAGGAGATTAGACATGCTCAGTGTAAATGCATGAAAAAAATCTAACATCGAATTCTTTATGTAGATGTATTTAAAGACAAAGTTTATAAAACAACTTATCATAAGTAAATATCAGACTTTATATGTTTGGATGGACCACTGTTTGGCTATTAAAACAATTTATTTTTTTGCTTAAAATTATTTTTAATCATATATTATCACAATAAAATATTTTGTAATAAATATTTTTTTTTACTTAATTTTTAGTCGCATATTCTTCAAAAAAATCGTGATTTTAAAACTCATTTTTCCCAAAAAACACTCATTTTGTTGGTATTTTTCACTTTAGCTCATTGGGACGGTTTTCTTTTTCTTTTTATAAATATGAAATAAATAAAAAATAACAATTAATTATTCAAATTCCTCCTAATAAAAAATTTAAAGAAAAAATATAAATGGTGCAGTAGAAAGGGTGGTCCGGTGAGGCAACACCGATTCCTATCTCAACGTGACAAAAATGTCAATGTGAACATTAAAATCACACATGGACCTCATATAACTTGAGTAGTTGGAGAACTCGGTCATGATGTTCTCATTTTTCCATTTTTAACTTATAAGTGAACTTTTTTATGTTTACCCAAACATGCGGTATCTTCTCGGGATTTCCATGACCCACTAGAGATCTCTCTTTTATACGTCTTGTCATGTTGTCCAACCTTTGCTTACAATATCAATCAAATTATACGGTAAATTACCAAAAAACCCTCCATTTAGTTATATTTTTCGCATTTGAGTTCTTAGTCCCTGTTTGTCTATCATTATTTTAAAAATTTTTTTTTTTTTCTCTCAAACTCATTTCTAACGATACATTTTCACAATAAAATATTTTGTACATAATTTATTTACCATACATTTTTCAAAAAATTCAATATTTCAAAATTCATTTTCATTGAATAATGGTGGACAAATAGGAGCTTAATTTTGTTGTGCTTGACTGTCAAAAAGTCGCATAATTTTTGCACGATTTATTTTTGAAGAATAAAATTTAGAAATAAGAATTCGATAAAAAATGTTAAGTACAAATCTTACTAAGTGCAACTAAAATGTGATACAACAAATAAAAATTATGGTGTGAATATAATTACCGTAAGTTATAATCGATGAAGAGCTATAGAGGTATAAAATGGGTTGATCTTGCTTGATCAGTGATGCCTAACAATTTTTTTGAAAAGCGATCGGATCACAACGGCATTAGGTCTAGAGAGCCACCTCCAACATATGGTACCTCTCGAGAAGATTTTGGCCGAGTAGAATAATGTCCGACCACCTTTATACCTCTAGTCAATGAAAGAAATAAAATTGATTTTGGTGTTATTTCGACACATTAATCAACATTTTTTATAGATTACCTCTCGCTATGTATAATGTTCTGTCGATTGTCAACATGTTGAGCTAATGTCAAAGGAGGACTGCTCCTATTACGAACGAAAGCTAATCTTTTAAGATTTCGATACTTTTTTGTTAATAAAAGTTATTTTTCACTTCCTTGTTCTATAGATATACTCATTGATTTTTCTTTTTTGACATTGATAGTTGCTTTTTTGTCTACCATTATGTGGAATCTGGCGTTGGCGTCCGTGGATTATGGAATTTTGTGTTCATCGTGGGGGACTCAAGTCAATTAAAGTGTACAATTTACCCAACAAATGAGTCTTATTTAGGAGAGAGAGAGAGAGACACACACAAATATATATACACACAAATGAGTCTTATATATATATACACTAGGTGCAAGCAACGTGCAATGTACGTTTGCCTAGTTTATATTTAATAGTTTTGTTTAAGAATTAATTTGTTATTAATAAAGATGTAATTTTTTTGGTTAATTAAATAATTAATGATGTAATGTTTATGTAATTGATAAATAATTAGATGTGTGATTTT